GTATGGTGGGTGCCAGAAGAGCAGAGCTTGGAGGTCTCTGGGTGTCTGGATTTGGGAAGGTACCAGGCAACTCAGCTGATGGTGCTGAGCACCATCTCTTCTGTGTCACTCTCTTTGTTTGAGAGGATCCATTGTGCCTTCATCCCCTGTGAAACCCCTGGTCCAAGCAGTACCTCTGTCAGTCTTTCATGCAGCTGATGGAAGGAGTGCAGAAAAATATCCAAGTCCAAATGTATATGGGCTTCTTATGCCTGCGCCCAGGCTGTGTGCAGTGTCACACACCACTGTGACATTAGTCCCTGTGCTACAAAGCAAAGTAGGGCTTGCATTGCAAGCTACAGGGCCTCAGCACCCTCACAGTAAAGAGTTTCTTCCTAATGTCTGATCTAAATCTCTCCTCTGTCACTGCAAGTGTTGTTCTACTTTTATTTGCTCCCCCCATGAAATCTGCATTCTCTCCTGCCTCCTAATGCACCTCTCCCATCCTTCTACTTCCCCTTGCTCTTGCTTATGCTCCTCCCTAGCTTCCCATCATTTTCCCCCCATTCTTCCTTGAAATTTTTCTTTCCTCTTCTTGTTCCTTCTGTATCCTGGTGAGTGTCCCTTCCTTTCTTCTCCCTCCATCCTATTCCTTGCTTGCTTGGAACTCCCCTGGCCCCAGCTTTCCCTGCCAATGTCACCCTCCAGGCAAAATGTCTCTGTCTCTCCTCCTTGTGGGAAGTCGGGCTTACGATAGCCTGTGAGAGGGACAAGCTTGGAAAGAAGGACTTACAATGAGAACTCGAGAAGAACAAGCCACGAGGAAAGCTGGAGAGGAAGTGAAGTGTGTAGGAAGAAAGAAAAGGAAGGGAAATGAGGCCAGGGAGGCAAAATCAGAAAGAAGAACCAAGAGTCACAGAAACACTCAGACATAGTAAGGGGAGAGAGAGAGAGGGAAGGAAAAGAAGAAAGAAAAGGAGACAAAAAACCCAGCTGGAAAACACAGAAGAAAAGAGAAGGGTGTTCCCAGTTATCTGGTGCTGTGGCAGTGAGTCAGAATCCTGAGTTTCCGATCTCCTATTCAAATGGAAACAGATATTTCTTCCTCTTCATCTCACTGGTGCCCAAAGTGTGACAATCAACCCGCAGCACAGTGGGGTTATTCGCACACAGGAGACCTCACAGGCCCAGCAGCACTTAAGTTGTAAGCAAAGGCAGGGAGCAGGAGGAAGGTACAGCTCACCTGCAAAGCTGTCAGGTGGGGGTGGTTAAAACTGGTTGGGTTTTGGTTTTTTTTTCCACCAAACCTAAAACATGAAGACTCTTGCCCGAAGATGAGCCAGGATGACCCCTCTGGCAAAACAGCCTGGCCTGCATCAGCTCTGGTACTCCTCTTGCCTGAGATGTACCAGCAGCCAGATACTCTGCTCTTCTGCCCTTTGCTGCCTGTAACTGGACCCTACACACTCCTATTTTGTGTATTAGGTAAAGTCTAATGCCTGTGTTTAGATATGTGGACTACAGAAAGGTGCAGGACTGACCCTTATTAAAGATTGTTATATCCTCAGACTGAGAAGTCTGTAAGATCTTCCCATTTTGCTCTTCTCTCTGGACCCACAAAGAGAACACAGAGTGATTACCTTTTCTAGGTAAATCTTGCCTGTATCTGGCCATATGTCAGTGTGAGACTGCCTCACCCTTTGCTTTGTATTTGTCAGGAGAAGCTAAGTAAAGGTTGTGTTAACTGCTATTTGCCCTGATTCTGTGGTTTGCAGCCAGTGTGAAATTGAAAGATTTTAGAATGCTACCACCAGTACTATCAATGATGTTTTGCACTCCTTTTATTCACTACAAAGCGGATTGCACCACAGGTGCTTAATTTTCTCCTAAAAATATTAAGACATTAAACATATTTGCTTTCCAGCTTGTGAACGCTCCATCCCTCTGATGCAGTGGCTCTGGCTTCCCACGGACTGCCTGTCTAGAAATGTTTGTGCAGAGCTGCTCCCTATACAAACACACCTTTAGGATCCACTCATAGCAAGTACTCCCCATCTAAATCCATGTAAGCTGGAGCAGAAGGGTCACTGAATATTCTTTGATCCACGCAATTGGAATCTATTTCTGAAGAGCATAAAGTTTCCTTATGCAGCAAAAGTATGTTAGCTCCATCAGCACGACAGCACAGACTGAGGCTGTTGGCACCTCATATATCCCAACTCACTACCCAAACCAGCTCTTCAGAAGGAAATGCATTGCTCCCCATGTCTTTTAAATCCACCCCAAGTCTTGACCAACTCTTGTTGGCTGTTTCCAGCATGAACTAGTGAAGACCTTGCAGAGTCCTTAGTACTGGAAGGGATCACACCTTTTATAGCGCTGTATTCCACACGTGTAGCAGAGAACAGGAAAACAAGGTGCAAGAACAGCGATCTACGTTCAGCTCTTCTCCTTTTTAGTGGCTTGCTGGTGGTGCACTAGTCAAATCACTGGATTTCTCTGCCTCCTCTTCCTTATGCAAACAAGGGGAAGTGATACTTAGTCATTATTATAACATCTAGGGATGCAAATTACTGTGTCAATGATTACTGTTTGTTCTCAAAATACATTCCATTTCCCTTTATCCCATTTACAACACTGGATTAGTCACTTCCAATATCACAGAATCATAACCATTCATTCCTTCAGATGAAGTACTAGTTTCCCTAAAAAGAAAAGCATCTCAGAGAGGTGAGCCACTCTTTAACATGAGGATATGTGGGATTGAGTTGTTCGGATACGGAGGTGCTGGAGGCTATTAAAGTACATAGATGACCAATAAACAGCACAAAAAAGTGCATCATATACTGAGGATATTGCAAACACTTGTCTAATGCAACATCTGATGGCTAATGAGAATTTGTAACTCATCTGTAAGAACAGCTTTGCTTTCTTGCAATGACACTGATTGCATCAGGGTTTCATAGTAGTACAGAACAGTGCATAAATTAAAATCATTAGATGGATGGCATACACAACTGTTATCACACTTCCATGTGCTTCCTTGAGTGTGGCTTTTACAAAGTAGGAAATAGCTTCAAGAACCTACCTACATCTCCGTGGCTTTGCAAAGGAGTTTTTCACTGCTCTGTGTGTGTTAGCGCCAACTTTTCCCTCGCTGAATTTGGAATGATAAAAAAAATCCCTGGTCCCTGACTATTGTTGTAGCGAGGGAGGAAAATGTTTTATTGAAGCTTGCCGGAATTCTGAATGAGCTTTAATCATTGAGATACTGGAGACAATTACTTGGGCTATGGCTACACAAAAGAATTGTAGCAATTGAACTGAAGATTGAAGAGTGATAAAGCAGTTCAAGCCTGTACAAAAATACCCTTCTCAGCTTAGGTGAGTGTGGGCTTTATATACCCCTCTTCATAGGCAAGGAGGAAGTAAGAGTTGTCATACATCTTGATTCTCACAAGGGTTTGACACCATTCCACATGACTTTCTCCTAAGCAAACAAGAAAGAACCCCAGCTCAGATGAAATCCTCATAAAGTAGGCACATGACTGGTTAAAAAACAGCTTTACAACCCCGTTCTCAATTTCTCACTGTCAGACTTGGAGGAATTTTCAAACAGGGTCCTTCCAACATCTGTGTGTGGAATCCATTTTATGCAGTATTTTCATTAACAACCTGTGACGAGGGAATAAAGAGTACTCATAAAATCTGCAGACATCATCGAGCTGGGAGAGGATGCAAACAGTTTGGCGGATGGACTGAGAATTCAGAATGATCCTGCTAAATTGGAGAAAATCAACAACTCGGTACAGAAAAGTGCAAAGTGCTACACTTAGAGGAGGAAATCAGAAGCACAAAGAGAAGATGGGGAATAAGTGGCCAGGCGGCATTACTGCAGACAGGCAGATTGGAGCGTGAGCCATGAACTGAACAGGAGGCAAGAGTATGATGCTGTTACATAAAAAGGGTAGAGCTAATGCAGGGTGCTGGGTGTACGATGCAAGTGACCAGTTTGGTTTTCCTGGCATGGGGAAGGCAGGATACCAACTGAAAGTTTCACAACTGAGCAGCAGATCCGAGAAGAGGCTTTGAAAACATGTCCTGCAAAGAACCATAGAATCATAGAATGGTTTGGGTTGGAAAGGACCTTAAGATCATCCAGTTCCAGTCCCCCCCTGCCATGGGCAGGGACGTCTGATGCTAAGATTGAGAAGGTTTGTTTAAGGACAAGCCTAGAGAATGAGGTGGTGACTATTGGTTTGTAAAGATGAAATGTTCTCACTGCCTATGTAAACGGGACAAGAAGAGGTTTCTGCTGTCAGAACAGGAAGATATGAAAGCCCCTGGCATTTAAGTATAATTTAGTGACACGGTTTAGTGTGTGATATCCCTGCCCATGGCAGAGGGTTGGAACTGGATGGTCTTAAGGTCCTTTCCAACCCTAACTATTCTATGATTCTATAAGGGAATGAAGTCGTGGAGCTAAAGAGGTGACCGTGCATTGTGTCCTTTACCATGTCATGACCAACTTCATCCAGGGATGCTGCAGGTATGGCCAGGCTTCCCAATGGGCAGCAAATGTGGGATGCAGATGGAAACAAGCTCAAGGCATCTGCTCAGGGTGGCCATAGCTAAACTGTGCTACTCTAGAAATGAAGACAAAATCACTTATTTTGCTGTAACCCCCTGAGATGCCAACATTTAATTTGATGGTGAAAGCAGAGCAACTTCCTCCTACCTACCAAGTTACAGAGAAACCCTGCGGCAGCTGGTGGGAAAAGGCCATGAATTATGTCCCCTGCCCCTCCTGTTGAGCTGTTCCTGAGCATCTTGGTGAGGAGATCCTGGAGGCTTCCAGGAGGCAATATAAAGTGCCTAAGCCATTGTCAGTAAAGCAGTCTTTGCCTGTCTACTTGCATCTATGTGGACACTCTGTGTTTCAGTAGCTGTTAGTCTCTGTCGTGATTTAACTGGGGACAAACACTGACAATATTTTCCCCTGTGTTTTCAATTCTCCCTAGAGTTGGCTGCATTGAGTAGCAGAGCTTTGAATTTTATTGAGGAAACAAGACACCCAAAAACTCAGAACCATTCTGGAACCCACAGGTTTTCACCCTGTTTCTCAACCACGAGAAGGAAAGCATAGCCCATGGTGAGTGGCAAAGATGGGTTTGTTAACCTCCACCAGCCAAATCTATTAATGTCTCCTTTGCTTTGCATGAAATGGGATTAGCAGGTGTACACTGGTCTTGAAAATCAATCAAGAAACATGGGGTTCTTGTAAAAGTTGGGCATCTCTATGGAGATCCGTCATTACTTAGGAAGTTGTATCCTCTGCAGTAGATTGTAGCTGGAAGGATGCAAGAAAACTGAACTATCCTGTTTGTTGTGGAGTTGTGGGGGGAAGAAGAATAAATAGGAGGAGCATGTGGCTTAGTGGAGAGAGGGCTGGATGTGCTGGGACAAATCGGACTTGCTGCAGGACACTGGGAAAGCTGTTTCACTTGTCCCTGTGCTATAAAATCTCCAACTATAAAATGAGATAATGAGCCTGGCTTTTCCTTATAAATAACACAGACTGACTTTCCTTATGAATGATTCTCCTTATAAATAACTTGTCTTATAAATAGCCTACATGGCAAATACTACATAGGACATACCAGGCTCTGTGGCATTTTTTGTAATAAACACATTTCCAAACCCAAATAGCTCAGTAAAACAGTTACAGATGCTATGCTTCTTAAGGGAAACACGTGCTTTCAGAATGTGTTGTTAGTATAAAAAACCAATTCATTGGGCTGATTTAAATGTATTAGCAAGCACCAAACCTGCAGTAATTTAATTGCAAAAATTTAATTGCAGAATTAAAACAATTAGCAAGGCTGCCCTCAATGCTCATGATATTACATCTATTTTATACAGAAATGGATAATATCTATAGCACCCAATAAAATGAACATAATAATCATCAGCTAAAGATGGGGGGGGGGGGGTGGCAAACCCCTTGGATTAGTTAAGTAACTTTACCATCAGTCACAGAGCAGCAGCTGACTCGGGCTGGAAGCCAGTCCATGCCAGCACTCACTGGATTCCATCCACTTGCCACAGCCCATCAGAGATCCCCCAAGTGACAGCGACAAAGAGGTGTCTTGTGATCCCAATTCATGTGCACGCAGGGCAAGAACCACACCTTCCAATAGGCAAGCAGATAAACAAGCTGCAACCACAGACTGAGCTGGTTCACCCAGGAGATTGCCTCGCTTAGAAGGCCACGTCCACTCTCCTTTCTTGAAATCACCCTGCAGGTAAGCGGCTCCTGGTATGGTAAAGCTTCTCTACTTGCACGTTGAAGCTTATACCCTGGTCAGTGCTTGTTGATGGATCCAATATGCTGCCACTTTGTTGGAGAAAACAAAGAATATTCATCCATTATCTGCCCATGGCTGGACAATGGTGATTGGTTGGGGAACATCTGAATTGGTGACTGCGTGCCCCTTTTCAGGGTGGGTGCTTTGGGTTTCTTCCTGACTTTTGGTGGGCCTGGGGCTTTGCTCCTATCATCTTCCAGGAACCACTCTTCACTGCTGAGATTTATCAAGTGCTGGGACTGGGGTGGTTTCTGGTGGGCAGACAGAGCGGATGAACTTGACCTGTTTAGCAGGAACACACTGATCTTGTCAGGTATTTCTGACCAAGCATCCAATGGTTTCATTTCAGTTGGGGTCAATAAAACTTCACTTCCACACTGCGAAAATGTCTCATTTACATTATCTTAAAGAAGACAAACGTGAAGTTCAATTCTCCAGCCCTTTCACAACACCCCCTTAGCACTTTCCAAGAGCTATTTAGCACTTAGCACAACAAGCAATATGTGGCCAAAGAGATGGGAAAAGAAGAGGGATCTATTAAGGCAGACTGCTGTATGAGGGAATTTGCCTGTTAAAGGAGGTGATAATATCAGAAACAGTAATCAGGTACTGTGGTACATGGGAAGAAAACCACTTCCAGGGCTAAATGTCTTCAAACTTTGGTTCTGACTAGTTTTTAACCAAATCAAAATCCACAGTCATAGAAGTTCAGTGGAATCTATGTCTTTATTCAGTATGTAATTTGTTTGAACTTAGCTGCCATCTCTCAGTTGCCACCTGACTCATCATCCAGATACTTCCCCCTTTAAATAAGGATGTGCTACGTATAAGAAAGAAAGTGCCCATGGAAAATGTGTTAAAAGGGATAGGATGTTTGGTGAACTGTTCCTGGACAACCTGCTCCTGAGCAGCTTCCTGGTTCTTTCTTTCAGCTCATGTGTCCATGATACACTGAACTCTTCTGTGTCTGATACTCCACTTGCTGCAGTCTCTGCAGTGCCTTTGTGGCTGGAAAAGCTGTGCCCGTGCACTCCATGGAGCAGACAGCTCAGCCCTGACGTGCCTTTTATAATCCTTTATATCTCTGAGCTTTCAGTCCACAGACAATTTTCTGTATAGCTCCCTACCAAATACACAAACTTAGCATGCTCAGCTTCACTGGCACATCTTGAACCCCCTTTTCTAGCAGCTCTTTTGTAAGTTAGCATTAGATTTTCTGCTGATTTCCACTCCTGTTTCTGTGGATGTTCCTTCCTCTGCATGACTTGGAGACAGCTTGGCAGCCCAAGGCAGCCTAAGGAGCTGCTACTATGCAGAAACCACAGGTCCTAGATTATGCTGAGCCAACATCAAAGATAAAGCATTAAAGATACTGACACAGCAATGGCACTGGCGATCAGCTCTCGCACGTGTGAGGAATCTGTAAGGATGTCTTTATGCACCTCCTTCTTCTATCCATCTCATTAAGGTGATCTGCTACCATTTACATCACCTTGCCAAATGTATATATGTATTTGCCAGTTCAGTCTGCTGACAGGAAGAACATTAACATCTACGAAAGTTTCCATGTTCTTATAATTATCCATTACCTATTAGAAGTTTGATCACTTCTTGAATAAAGTTTTCCCTTTAGCCAAGCACTATAAAGCCCTCATCAGTCCTAGTTTTTACAAGGGCAGGGAGCTAACCTGGGTTCACTCTGCCCTCGCCTTTTGTTTCCTAGCTCTGTTTGGATTCTGGTTTAAACAGACTAGGTGGTTTTGCGAAAGGTGGGTGTTTGATGCAAATTAGAACATGAGTCAAAAGGCTGCGAAAGGGGAAAGCGTGAATTCCTCACTTATCCCATCCTTCTGCACTGCAGCCCCGGGCTCCTGCAGGGAACAGATGACACGACATCATCAACCCACTGGCACACAGGGAGCAGGAGCACTTCTCACTGCACGGCCACCCTGCTGCCAGGGCAGTGGAGATGGACCTGAGCCAGCTGCCAGTGAGCAGCCCCTACCAGTATAGCCACGGGTACTGGGGTTCAGTGCCCAGGTCTTTGCCCAGCCTCTCAGTGAGTTTGTGGTTGGCATGACGCATCACACTGCTCACAACAGAGTGGTTAGGAGCCAAGCTGTCAGTGAAAACCAGCTCTACCACATGAAGTGCTGCTACATCCGAGTTGTAGAGTGAGTTTATTCAGTAGGAAACAGCCAGATTGGACAGCGAATCTACATCCTTAGTTATTGCTTCCATCAACATCTTCCTCCATATTTACATCTTGGACCCATCTGGGCATCAGGATGAGGCTGGTGCTCTGTGTCAGTGCAGTGATACAAAGATACATTGGATCCCCGATGCGAAGACCTCTTGCTATGAGAGGCAGATTTAGTATCACCTCTATCATAGAACCATAGAATAGTTTGGGTTGGAAGAGACCTTACAAAGCTCATCCAGTCCAACCCCCCTGCAACAAGCAGGGACATCTTCAACCAGATCAGGTGGCCCAAAACCACATCCAGCCTTGCCCTGAATGTCTCCACGGATGGTGCATCCACCACCTCCCTGGGCACCCTGTGCCAGTGTTTTAGCACCCTCATTGTAAAGAACTTTATCTCACATCCAGCCTGAATCTCCCCTCTTGCAGTTTAAAACCATCACCCGTCATCCTATCACAACCAGCCCTGCTAAAACATCTCTCCCCATCTTTCATACATGCCTCTTTAGGCACAGGAAGGCTCTAAGGTCTCCCTGGAGACTTTTCTTCTCCAGGCTGAACAGACCCAACTTTCTCAGCCATTCCTCACAGCAGAGGTGCTCCAGTCTCTCGCTATATTTGTGGCCCTTCTCTGGACTCTTTTCAACAGATCTGTACCTTTCCTGTAGTGAGGACTCTCAAGCTGTCCTGCAGGCCTCTGTTTCCTTTCCTCCAAGGAAAATTTTACCAAGCCTTTGATGGCTTGGTAAAACCAGCACATTTTGAGCTGGAGGTGAGGAGCTGGTCTCTAAGCCTGAGCAAGCAGGTGAGGACTCAACAGGCTGAGAAAGTTCAGCCTGGAGAAGAGGAGGCTGCGTGGAGACCTCAGAGCAGCTTCCTGTGTCTGAAGGGGGCTACGAGGACGCTGGGGAGGGACTCTTCATTAGGGACTGTAGCGATAGGACAAGGGGTAATGGGTTCAAACTTAAACAGGGGAAGTTTAGATTGGATATAAGGAGGAAGTTCTTTACTGTGAGGGTGCTGAGGAGCTGGCACAGGGTGCCCAGAGAAGCTGTGGCTGCCCCATCCCTGGCAGTGTTCAAGGCCGGGTTGGACACAGGGGCTTGGAGCAACCTGCTCTAGTGGAAGGTGTCCCTGCCCGGGGCAGGGGTTGGAACTGGATGAGCTTTAAGGTCCCTTCCAACCCAAACCAGTCTGGGATTCTATGGCTCTCCTACACCGCTTTGAGGGTCAGGGCAAGAGCTCCGGGGCGGCCCCTCCCTGTGGCAGGTTTCGGCTCCCCAAGCGGAGGTGCTGAGCCCCGTCCCTGCGGGCACTCAGAGGACACCGCTGTTCCCAGTGGGTTTCGGGGCGCTCCGGGACGCGCCCGCCCCTGCCTCCCGTGGGGCTCTCCCGCCCCGCTCGGTAACCGGAGCCTCCTCCGCTCCGCGCAGGGCTTATGGCGGCGGCCGCAGCTCCGCCCTCCTCCGCCATGACCGCGGCGGCGGCGCCCCCTGGCGGCCGTGCGGGGTGCTGCCGCCGGCAGGTTGTCATCACCCCGCGGGGACACGCGTGTGTGTGTGAATGGGGTGACGGTAAACGGCAGCGGGGCATTGGGAATGGAGCCAACTGCCCCACAAAGTCACCGACATCTCCTGGGGACGGGAGGTGATGCGGAGAGGTTACCGATCCCCGTGACCCGGGAAACGGGCCCTTCCACCGACACCAGGAGCCGAAAGGCTGCAGAAGTGGAAAGCATGGATTGGTCGTTTATTCCATCCTTCTGCATTGCATGGGCACGGACCCCGACGGTGAAAGACACGGACACAGACATGGACACGGACACGGACACACACACGGACAAGACACGGGCACGACACACACGGACAAGGCACGGGCAAGGACGGGCACAGACACGGACACAGACACACACGGACATGGATATGGACACGGACGGGCACGGACATGGACACGGATTGGCACGGATACGGATACGGACACGGACACAGACACACACGGACATGGACATGGATGGGCACGGATACGGACACGGACACAGACACACACGGACATGGACACGGATGGGCACGGATACGGACACGGACACAGACACACACGGACATGGACACGGACACGGACACAGACACACACGGACATGGACATGGACACGGACACGGACACGGACACGGACACAGACGGACACGGACACAGACACACACGGACATGGACATGGACACGGACACGGACACGGACACAGACACACACGGACATGGACATGGACACGGACACGGACACAGACACACACGGACGAGGCACGGACACGGACGAGCACAGACCGGCAGAGACACGGACATTGCAGTGCTGCCCGCCCGCAGCCAGGGGGCAGCAGCGCCGCGGCTTGGGCCAGCGTTGCACGCTCTGCGCCTCGCTATCGTCAGTGCGGGGGGGGCTAGGGGAGGGGCTTCTCCTCATGGCGGCCCGGGGCAGGGGGAGCAGGCGGAGGGAAGGGGGAAACGGGACCGGGGCAGCCGGCGGGGGAAGCGGCCTCCTGCACCCGCAGGCTGCGCTGTCCTCGCTCACCTTCTGTCGTCCCGCAGCCCCCCGCAGTGTAAATATTTGGGTGGTGCGGCGGGAGCGGCCGCGGCTCGCCCGTTCCCCGGCTGGCACCATGGCGGGAGCAGGGACAGGGGCAGGGAGTGCGGCGGGGCAGGGGGATCCGTGAGAGCCGAGCCCCGGCCTGCAGCCTGTACAGGGATTGCCTCTGCCGGCGTGAGGAGAGCAGCGCCATCTGCCCCCCGTCTTCCCTTTACCTTCATGCCTAACGAATTGGCACCATTGGCCCGTGTGAGGTGCATGTGCAGCGCTCCATACAGTGTCTTCTCCGTTGCGGTTTCCTCCACTCTGAAGAGCAGCGAAGAACGAGTGGAGTTGGGATCCAAAAAAGAAGATCAGATCCCATCAGAAAGGAGGAGGGAGAGAACAAACAGACAACTTCAGCTCTCATCATCCTGATTTCTTACTTCAGTAGCTGTGGGATATGCAAGGCTCTGGCCTACAGGCTCCACCAGCAGGGGAGGTGGCAGGCTTCAGCACTACAGCAGCCATCAGTAAGTTCCATCCCAGCGAGTTCAGCGTGCTCTGAGGGAGATAAGTTTGCAAAGGCCAATCAGCCAGTCAGTTTTGGGGGGAAGAAGATCCAGAAAGCAATCCATTCATCTTAATGATAAAAGGTGATAATAAAGTCACCCAGATCCCGAGCATCTCTGTATTGCTTGTGCTACATTCACAGGTCAAATGCAGTGTGAAGGCAATGTGAATGTCTAACTGCCAAGGCATCTGGGCTGTGTTGGAAAGGCTCGCTGCACTCTGCTTTCTTGGAGCTAAGGAGAATTCAGTAAGTTGTTGAGTTGAATGCTCCATCCTCCTCCCTCTCAAGCTTCTGGAAGTGACAGATGTTTCCTCAGGGCCTGTTATTTTTGACTCCTCATGATTTATATATCTGTGCAAGCCTGGTGGGTGGAACTGTGTGTCACAGACAAGCTGAAAATAACTTGTATACTGAGGCTCTGATATCTACTGGCCCATGTAGAGTAGAAAAGCACCCAGATCAAATTGAATCACATTATATGTGCCTGGCAGCTGCATTGAGAGGTACAGGTGGAGCAGTGGTGGGTTAAAGTGAAACTGAAATGTTTTGTGGAGAGCACTGGCAAGGGCTGTGCATTAACCCTGTGCACAGCAGAACAACCATGGCTTAGCCCTCATAGTTGTCTTGCTGAGATACACAGTACCATACCAAGAAAAAAATCATATTTAGAATTATATGTAATTAATTCCCTCTGTCATCATAGGATCACAGAATGATTTGGGTTGGAAAGGACCTTCAGATCGTGTAATTCCAGCCCCCTGCCACAGGCAGGGACACCTTCCAATAGAGCAGGTTGCTCCAAGCCCCATCCAGCCTGGCATACACTGCCAGGGATGGGGCAGCCACAGCTTCTCTGGGCACCCTGTGCCAGCGCCTCAGCACCATCACAGGGAAGAACTTCTTCCTTATATCCAGCCTTAATCTCCTGTTTAAGATGGAACCCATCACCCCTTGTCCTGTCACTACAGTCCCTGATGAAGAGTCCCTTTCTGGCATCCTTGAAGGTACCTTCAGCTACTGGAAGGCTGCTCTGAGGTCTCCCCTGGTCCTTCTCCAGGCTGAACAGCCCCAACTTTCTCAGCCTATCTTCATACAGGAGGTGCTCCAGCCCCCTGATCAGCCTTGTGGCCTCCTCTGGACTTGTTCCAACAGTTCCATGTCCTTTTGATGTTGAGGACACCAGAACTGCACACAGTGCTCCAGGTGAGGTCCCACAAGAGCAGAGTAGAGGGGCAGGATCACCTCCTTTGACCTGCTATTCACGCTTCTTTTGATACAGCCCAGAATATGGTTAGTTTTATGGGCTGCAAGCACACACTGAAGCAGCTCATGTTCAGTTTTTCATTGACCAACACCCCCAAGTCCTCTACAGAGCTGCTCTAAGTCAATTCTCCACCCAACCTGTAGACGTCAGACATGACGCAGAACTGGACAGAAAGCCCTTGGCCTCTGTGTGGGAGGTTCAGGAAGATACCTGGACAGATGGCATTGCAGAGCTGTGCTTGGGTGTGCCTCAAGTGAGGCCAAGGGGCTTCAAACCTGCTTCAGGGTCCTTCTCACTAGAGTCAATACTCTGTGGGGAAATACTCCTGTGGGACCCTGGGAGTCGCCAGCCATAAATGCCTCATCAGCTATTTTGGGATAGTCTGGAGCAAAAGGTAGGCAAGTAAATATGCTACATCCACATGTGCCCAGCACTCAAAAAATATGAAGGAACACTCTGTGGCACACAGGCAGGTACCAGTCTCAAAGCACAGTGTCAGGGCTAAGATGTAAGGGCATATTCTTAGATGAGCTTCTCAAAAGCTGATGTCTCTGCTCCTCTCCATGTACATGTAGTGAGCAGGGTGTTTCACGCAGCCTCTCACCAAGTTTTCCCCAAGTGCAGCCTGGCTTCCTTTGGGTACAGCTCAGAACCAGCATTCTCTGGGAGGTGATAATATTTTCCAAGGCTGGGCCATTCATCCGTGCCAGCCTCTTGGGAATAGGGAGAAGCTTTGCAGAAAGGGCCTGGCCACACCCTGGAGCCAGCAGTAGGATGTTTACAGCCTGCCAAGGTAAACTGTGTGAGTGGTACACCTCCATTTACAGCCAGATCTCCAGAGCAGAAGCAGGGAGTGAGGAGTGCCACAACTTTCACTGCTCGTGAGGAGCTGAAGATGAAACTCAGCGGAGGACCCAAACTCCTGGAGGATATCCACACCTCCAGAGAACATGTCTCGTGCAGGGTTTCCTGGCAAGGTTTCTGCCATAGCACAGCTTTGGCACATGTCATCTCTGCATTTAAAACCTTCTCTGGTTGTTTTTGTTTGTGGTTTTGTTTTGGGGTTTCAGGTACTGGTTTCCACTTCCCTGAGTGCTTCCCCAACACTGGGCTTAACCTTACTTCTGTCTCTGGTCCCCTTTGAGCACCAGCCTGTGATGACTCGGATCTCCTGAGGCCTCTCCAGTGCTTTCATCCTGGAATCATCATTCAACCTACCTCTTAAATTCATCAGAGATTATTAGGATTCTCTGTGTGCTCCTTTCTCTTCAAGGCCACATGACTTCCACTCTTTCCTTGCATCTTCCAACTTCCCTGTTCCCATGCTTGTTTCCTGTTCCTTTTTCTTTTGAGTTTCTCTGCCAGGAAGTGTTGCACAAAGTGATACTTTGGGATGTGCAGTAGAGGGGCCACGAGACATTAATCCTGCTCTCAGAGGTCCCTTTAGAAAAAACATCCTTTAAATGCCAACAAAGATTTAAGCCAAAAGGTTTTAATTTTTAAACTGATGAACAATTTGTCCAGAGTCAAAACATTTGTGCTGATAATGGTGCTGTGCCCTGAGGGAGCTAATTTGCCTATCTTACATTGCTTGACTTTCCTGCTCACAGATAACTCAGCCCAGTGATATCTCATGTTGTAACCCAGTTCAAGACTCAGACCCACTCTTGCAAGAAGGACGTGCTGCATCTTTGGAAAACCTGAGTGAAATGTTGTGTCACAGCAGGAATAGAACCCAGTACCTTGTGCTAACTCACTGTTAGCACATTTTGGACTTGTCTAAAACATTGGGTGACATCAGTGGGATAGGCTGTATAAAATTGCCATTCTATCTGGGAGGATGTTAGATCCGTTTGCTCTCATGTTGTCCTTACGTGTGTGGCCATACAGGAGTACATCAGCAGCTCCTCTATCTTCAGCCTATTACTGTACTGGAAAACATAGCATAGAAATACCATGTAAATGTGAGCTGGGTGTTTTAAATGTTGAGGGTTGGTTTTTTTTAGAGGCCTCCCAGTTCTCCTATCAGTAGTTGCAGTCCAGGAAACTTTGTGTTTATTAAGCTCTGTGTAAATTTTCAGCTCTCTATAAATGTAAAATCAATAGCAGTGATAACAGCAGCAAAGTGCTTAGTCCAGCTCTGGTAATAACCCAAGACTGCTGACTTCTAGATAAGATCGCTTGCTTTACACAGGCACCTCCTCTCCATGTGAAATCAGAGGGTGCAGAACAGAAGATACTTGTGCACCCTGACAAGAACAGAAACACTGAAAACATGATGCCAACGGCAGGCAACAACCTGAAGGACTCTTAGAATGTATTGTGGGGGCCTTTGCCCCTCCACCGAGCACTGCAAACACACTTCCTCTTCTAGGAAATTAAACTCTTAACAGACATCTCCTCGCTGATGATACTGTCTTTTATCTCCTCACAAGCACACGGGAAAGGGAAATCTCCAGTAACCTGACAGAGTGAGCAATGCTGCATTGCTGGGGGATGAACAGAATGATGAGATGACAATGTGTGGCTTATCCAGAGCTGTGGCCTCCAGCGGTGATGCCACCACCCGGCTGGTTCTAGTAGGGGTCAACCTCGCCAGTTTTTGAGGTTCACAGCAGGGGTCATGGGGTGTGTGTAGGGACCATGCTTCCACCCCTCCCCAGGCATCCTGCAGCTCTAAAGGCAGCTTTGCCTGCTCAGCCTCCCCCACTCTTGCCCAAACAGACAGGTAGAAGGGCTCTGTGCTTTTATAGCTGTGGTTTTATCACCACTGGCTAAGTGGTGATAAACCTAGTCTCTACCATTTATAAATACTTGTGTAGAGCTAATGGCTGATAGCTAATGGCTGGTAGCCTCTGCTACCTTCCACTGTGGTAATCACATTAAGGGTGAAACCACTGCAGGCAGCTGTGGTTGGCTCCATGCAGTCTATTCCTCTTCCACCAGGTCCTCTCTAACCCTGGTTTAGGGTTCCCATACATTTTACTGCCATCCCACCAGCCTCTGTCATGATCTCCCCATGGAGTTCACTGGTAGACCCCAGGAGTAATCCCTTCCCTCCTCCCTGCACACCTCTGCCAGCCAGCTCAGCCTTATCTTGCTCTGTGGTAGATCCACAGTCACCTTTGGGCTTTTTCTTTGGCAGGCTGCTTTGTTCAAGTCCATCTGCACATCAGTTCCCATCCGTTTTCTTCTTCCCTGCTCTCTGCCTGTTAACCTATCCTTAGGTCCAGTGATCTCCCCTGCAGGAAGGATCCTCCTTAAGCCCCTATCCCAAAGGCGACACTCCCACTGTTAAATAATGACACAGTAATGATCACCAGAGGGCTGGCAGGGACTTCAGGAAGTCTCTGAAGCCATTCCCCCTTCTCCGAGGTGGAGTCACCCAGGAGCAGTGCCTGACACGTGTGTGAAATGCTTCCAGCCATGGGGATGCTGCAGCTCCCCAGCAGCCCCCTGCGGCCCAGGAGACCTTCCTGGGGAAAAAAAAAGCACTTTCTGGAGCACAACCCAAATCTTTCCTCCTGCAAATCAGGCTGATTATTACTTGTCCTTCTTCTGGAGCAGAACTGATCACAGTCTGCCTCATCACAACCTTTTATATAATAGCGAGACAGCTTTTAGAGTAACTGAAAAAGAGGCGTTTGCTCACTTGCAAAGTCAGGAAATTCCCTGCCAATGGACATTCTTTGTCAGGGATCCTTTGCCAGCATAGGCTGAGCGCTAAGCCCCACAATCTGCATTTTCCTTTTGAATGACTCCCACAAAATAAACCAAATACACGTCCAAGGAGATTTATGACATCCCTTCCAAGGGCGAAGCATTCCTCAGCTACATTCCACTTCTGTCTTTTGTGCTTAGGAAAGAGGAAAAAGAAATTCTCTGTGATGCCTCTAGATCCCACCCCTCGAGGGCTTCTGTCCTTAATAAAGCCAAGCAGCTGGAGCAAGATTTGTCAGACTAGTCCTGAATGGCTGGCTTGCTCCTCCTGCACCATCAGAGCAGCACTGGGATTCCTGCCTCCGCTGGAAGATTAATAACTCGTGGCACCACGTTTCCTCAGTCAAAACACCTTTTGCTGTTTCCAGTGTCACCCTATCCCTGTGGCAGCAGCTGCCAGAGTGGATCTTCTCACTTCCGAGCTGCTCTGGCTTCTCCTGCCTCTGCATGATGCAAGAGTTTGCAATGCTTTTTGGGAGCTCAGATGTGCTCTCCGGGGCTCTCTGCTCGAAGCAATTGCTCTCTCCAGGCTTAGCAGCGAAGCTTTTATCCAGATGTGTAAAGGAGGTTGTGTACAGAGGGAGACTGAGGGGGTGAAAGCTCTGTTGTGTTATCTGAGCTTAATTAAGCTTCTACCCAGGCAGTCTCTAATTGATTGACCCCAGGACTGCAAAAAGGAGCAAATTTACTGTAGGTTGTTAAAGGAGCAGAGTTTGGAATTGGGATTTTATTTATTTCAGAGATGAAGACCTTTGACTGTTGTCCTGCTGACTGATGCCAGTGAAACATTTCAGCACATGTTGGCAGGTGGATGTGGCATTTTAAATCCAAATGAGAGAAAAGGTGAGTCCTCAGATGCCTGCTCATAGTCATTGTGTCCCTTAACAGCATTTATAGGTAGCACTTAACTGGAGCTCAGTACTGCTTTCTGCCCCAGCCTGGGCTGTGCTAACCAGCCTGTAGCCTGTGCCAGTGGATATCAGATCCATTTCAGTGTCATTGGCTTCAAAAGCATTTCACAAAATCAACCAAACCAAAAAGCTTTCACCAAACCACACATCAGTTCATCCACTGGGATGTGCAGCCACTGCAAGCGAGGGTGAAGCTCTGCCACAGCACAGGACAGCTCCCCAAAACCACTGTGTAAAAAGTGGAGAAGGGGAAAAGATCTTGTGTTCAAGGGGAGCTGCAGGAAGAATACCATTTTCCAGAAGAGGACTATCCCTCCCAAGCCTCTGGAACACTGATTTTGCCAGAAATGCTGCTGAGATCATTTCCACTCTGATGATGTTCAGATCTGTCTTTGTGACTGAACCCCCAGCGAGAACAGGGGCTCAGGCTCACTCCCCTGAATAACTGGTCCCTTCTCAAATACACAGCTCGGGGCTCTGTGTGCAGGTCTCCTCTGCAAGTACCACTCTTGGCTTTGTGTTGGTGAGGTTTGATGGAAGCTTACCCTGGCAGGACCCTGACATAGCCAGTGTGCAGCAAAGGTGACAGGAGGACAAGGTATGTGGATCAGTGTGGAAGCGATATGCATGCCTGAAGATGAAGGAGACCATTATGAGCGGAAGAGCAGCCATGGGCCAGGTGACAGAAGGCTGTTAAAAGGCTAACTTTCATAACCAGTCCAGCCAAAGCTTCTTACATCATTTGGAGCCAACTCACTGTGGCTCAAATCAGCCTTAAAACTATTTCAACTGGGCTTTAAAGCTATTTAGAGCATGGAGGGAAAGCCTGAGTGTGTAGAAAACTGATAAAATTGTGTGTGCACCGTGGGTGTGAGATGCTGCTGCTGATTTGAAGTTTCTCCTGTCAGCCTATGAGTTGCTTCCCTTTTCTTCCTTGCTAGGACAGACCCATGTCCTATTTCTTCCTACTCTCCATCCTTGAAGAAGATGCTTATCTTTCCTGAGGAGGTTTCTGTGCATTCTGTGAAGTTTTGCAGGGATTTGATGGACTGCGAGCAGCAACACGGACAGGTGACACCTACCCTACATGGTTTTCAATGAGAAGACATCTCTACAGTCATGGCTGCTTTATCTCTGTTCACCTTTAGGCCTTTCAGAGCACTTTGTTTGCTTTTCTGCCTCTTCTGTTTAGAAAACATTTAACATCGGCATTTACAGGAAAGTCCCAGTTTTTACACCATGTTTGAAGGACACTGGTTTGTTGGGTCTCTGAGTTTAGGTAGTGGCTGCAAGAATAAGTCCCTAGGTGCAGCTATGAGGAAGAGGGACTGCTGCTGTCACTGTGGTGAAATGACATTTGTCAGCAAGGAGAGCTGACCCTCCAGAAGAAGATGCTGCTGTGGAAAGGGAGGAATTCAAGTGTGTCTCTGGAGCACCTGGACTTCTCTGTCATGAGTAGGACAGTTACGACCCCCACAACCCTCCCGCTCACTGCTTGCTCTGCTTCTTTCTTCTTTTCCTCCCTCCACCACACCCATATTTAACCATTTAGATATAAAAATAAAAAAGAAGAAAACCACCCAAGCCACTAGACAGAGGGTTTGCTGAAGAAGGGTAATTTGAAAAGCAAGTCTTTGAGGTCAGCGTGTAATTGTAACATTGGGACTGTGTGATCCAAGACAAAAATAATCCACTGGGTAGCTGGTCAAGGAGGAGAGGATAGCAGCTTGCACTGAGGGAAGAGTGACTTACACAGGATTCATCAGGCAGCAAAAGGCTTGCTGGCACCAGGACTAACACTTCTGCAAGATTCTCTGTCTGTGATGCTGGTGTAAGAGTTGTGTTCAGGGTCACAGCCTCCCTTGGTTAGTAGCTCTGCCTCTGCCAGAGTTTGGCTTCCCAGGAACTTAATGGTCTTCCACAGAAATACGGATCTGGTGTGAAGTATATTTATACATCAACCTGCTCATGAGGAACATTGCTGGTTTGGTCTGGAGATTTTCTAATTGCTTTCCATTTTCAATCCCCTGCTTCAGGTACTTCATGAAAACCTGTCTTCTCGTGGGGCTGCAAGCCATGGCCTTTGCTTATGTGTGTAATAGAGGATGTTCTCAACTCCTATAAATGCCATCTCCTTTCCCCACAGTTCCTTCTCAGTCATAGCTGACAGCAGTAAGTTATGTGGGCCAATCATGCAATGTATTATACCAGGATTTCCTCTAGCGCATTTTAAATAAAGAACCTTGTGAGTGCCTGAATATCTCTGGTATCTGCTGGCCCTGAGAGTACAATACAGGGGGTAGGAGGACCACACTACAGTGCTGGTTTTGTTATCATTCTGGTGAGAGACAGTGGCAGCTGCCATCGCTTGGGAATAGTGATGCTAATTCTCGTACTGGGGCAAAGCACCAACTGTCCATAGAGGACCTTGGTTTTCCTGGCTCCAGAAGTGGCATGTATATGACACCAAGCAACCTTTCATCTCTCATTCCCAAGAATGAGTTGCTTTCACATTTGCTCCTAGGTGAAAGAACCATAAAAATCAGCTTACTGTGAAAGAAGTTGTGTAAGAGGAGGGAACATGACTGTATGTCGATGCCAGCGGCTGGGGTATAGAGCTGTACCTGAATTGATGCCACTTGTGTTTCCATTCCAGGATGCCCAGCCATTAACTCTCCAGGCTTTTACCACAGTTCAGTATTTCCCCTTCTCAAACCACTGTCTGTGCATGAAAGGGATTTATTTTAATCAGAGGCCAGGGCTGG